GTTTTGTCTGGGAGTGGAATTGCTAATGTTGTCATATACAATAAAATACATAAAACGATATAAAAAATTTTTGGATGATATATAATGTTCAAATTAAGGTTAAGAAAAGTAATTTTTACCTTTTAGGAAAAAGGTTTGCATGTAATTATTTATATAGGAATTGACATTAACATGTAATAAATATGTAATTTCTATGCTTAAACTATTATTCTGCAGTATGTAATTGGACGTTCCGAAATAATAAACAATGCAATAGCATAACTTAGAGAAAAATTTACTGTCAAATATTTATACATGTACATGTATAAGGATTTATCATAGGATTATTATACACATATTGAAGTTTTAAGGACTGATTTCTTTTTTCTATACATGTATTCTTTGCAACTTCCAGCTATTTTACTTATCTAATGAATGAAAACAATACGTATTATTTAAAAGATAATCAACTACATGTAATAGACAAAAATCATTGAATTATACGAATTCGTTTATTACATGTATTTTTATACAAGCACATGATCGCATACTAACACATAAAGTTAAAAAGATTTTAATTACCGCATAAAAACAATACATGTATCGTACAAAAATATGCCCAAAACTCTTTCTCTAAATGACATGTGATTCTTAATTTGCTTTCAAAGAAATCAAGATAGAATTCATCATCCATTCTCAATCATGTGATAGATGAAGAGTATGAATGGCAAAGAAATTTTTTAGGAATCTGTGTATAATTTAATATATTCATGAAAAATAGATGTAGGACTAATTGAAAAAGAATGACGATAGAATTTCAGAAAAATTGTGATCACTTATTTTTTTCGTAACGGTATAAAATACTGCACTATTACAAGGTAAACCCAATCAAATCGTAAGTTATAAAATATTATTAATATTTTCTAATAGTGCTCAAGCTACCTCACCGGCAAACGTCACAGCATTGCGCTAAACATACAAAGTGGCGCGACTAAATAGACGTTTACTATAAAGGCACGAAATAACACCCCGGAACTCCGGCGCATTATTTTGCGACTATACGGTATTGAAACTTGGTCATTATACTGCGACAAAATGACAGAGACTTTCAAGGATGAAGGAATGAATGATGCAAACCGCCCGCAAGCGACGACACGGGTGTGGAAACAACGCGATCGTCAATTAGACATACTTACTGATCGTTGATATTGGCAAACTATCGTGAACTAAACATTCATCGCAGTATCTATTCTCTTGACAATCAGTACATTCCTTACAACGATGAGTATTCGATTCCATTTTTGAATTTGTGAAGTTCACCATAGGACGCATGCATTACTATCAAGTAATCGTTTGTAACTGGGTTTTTAGTCATTCCATAATATGCTATCAAGTTGCCGTAACAATAGCATTCAAATCCAGTTTAAATCTAGTTTTGAAAAATTTGATCGTATTAGAGAAAAGTAACTGGCTTTCACTTTAGAAATGGTCGTTTTTACCTCGTGTATAAATTCTTGAACAATTTGCATTGAATTAGCAATGAGTTCAACACAACTTCTCTTTCTCCTCTTCTTTTAAATTTATTTTCTTCATGATCCCAGTTGGGATAATATGTACTGTATTCACCGGAATTTAATGGTCCATCCAACCAGGTTGCTTTATAGATTGACCCAAAATCACCTTTTGCGATATATTCAACGTTGATAAACTTTTCAAAAGGAACCCATTCGAATATATTGTAATAATGATAATTATTTTGTTGTTGCATTCTTTTATTAGATTTTCGTTATCTTTATCGCCGCTAGTCAATTCATCGTTTGTGATATTTGAAACAGTCAACGCAGTCCTTATTCTTTTTTTGACAACGAATACATTTATTACAATGACTAGTATTCGCTCCCATCTTTGAGTTCACTCTATAAATGCGAATTGCTTGAAATGGTAGTAAAACAAACGAGATAACGTTTGTTCTAAATTTACATGTTCATGTATGAATTTATTGATTTTCGGATGATCTCACCGCTGATTGGACAAAATCAAATCACGTAATTATTAAAACTGGAAAAATATCTTAGGGTTAATGTTAGTTAGAGTTCGAGATTTGAATTATATGTAAATTTTCTAATTTCACCAATTGATTTTTCGTTGTCCAATCAAAACTTCAGGTAGAAATTAGTACATATTGATGCACTATGAAATTATGGTTAGATTCATGTGATGCCACACGGGATCTTGCATCACGGTGGTAATCATGGGGCAGTAACGACGAGATAATAGATATTGAAATACTATTATCACGAACGAGCCACATACAAGCATGTGATAAACAATAGATGGGAAAAAGAGGTAAAAAGATGAATCACTTATAAAGGTGATTCGTCGCGATGAATTTGAAGTTTTGAGTTTTATTATTTCTGTATTAAAAATTCTATGTATTTCGAGTTGAATGGAATAATAAAAACCCATATATTTTATTAAATAAAAATACTCAACTTGAATAATAAACATTTCAATTACAATATTACCAATGAAATCAAATGCACCTTCTATCGGCAAAACTAGTGAGGTTTTGCAAGAGTTTAAATCACAAGATCTAAGCCACTAAAAGAAATGCAGATACTATTAACAAAACTCACCCGATCGAATAGTCTCTTGGCCTGGTTTGTTCAGAAGATTACCAGCAATCGATCCGGCTAGGTAACAATGTACATGTAAACGTACAAAAGTTTGGGTTCACCGAGTACGGCCTGACAAACAAGATCAACAACTAAAAAAAATTAAACGCCGATTGTAGCATCCAATTTTATCATGAATGTGCCTTGAAATTATTCCACAAGCTGGCATCGGTTCTTGTATTTGTCGGATTGAACAAATGTCTTTAGTTGGTTGCCGGTGCAAAGTGCGTTGGCTCATATATAAGAATAATGATGACTAATAAAACCAAAGTTTATTAAATACCGCACACCATATAAAAATATAAGTACTTATTAAATTCATTTTTTGAAGTGAGCTCAGAAAGATGGAATTATAGCAAATTCATTCATTGTCAAGAATGAAGTTACGGATTACGATTGTAATAAATGCACTCGTTAAAAAAAAACGAGTACTTCTCTAGATTCTTTATGGATCACCATTAATTATAAAGCTGATGGCCTAGTGAAAAAACGATACCTCAATCTTTTCAACTTGATAAACCACGAACTAACAAAATTATTGCTATAGACAGCCTAATAATAGAATGCATGGAAACCGCAACATTTTTTGAATAGATCTTTTTTGAAAGACTTATCGAGGTTTAAGTATCTTATAAAAATGGTCCCTTAAAATGGAAGACATATAACGGGACAAAGTAAATAATAAAGTGAACTAGAACTTGTGTTGAATTTGTTACACCACTCAAAGTACATAAATTAAAGTTCATAAAAAATCATTTTTTTTTATTTTTAATGCAACTGGAAAATAAAAATAACCATAATTATTTGAGTTAAATACAATATTCAAAAAAATTAAATTTCCATGGCAAATTTGTGCAAATTCATTTGTAACTGTGTCTTTCAGTGAGTTGATATTGCATTTTAGAAAAGTTGAATCTATATACGAAAACTTGATTCACAATATATCAATAAATGAATTCTTTCAAAGTTTCTCTTTTTTTCAATATTTCACTTTTCCTATGACTCGATAAATAAATTTTTGAGGTCATTATTCTAAATTATGATCCTAATTCACATTTGTTGAAAATTTTAGTTTAAGGTACTTGTACAGGACTCAATTAAGTTTCTCATGAGAAATTCAATAATGAATAATTAATCTCACACTTTAGTGACATTATCAATCTTACAATGATTTAACAAAGTATTTGCCTATGGTTATTATAGTTAATAAAATTATATGTTGAATAAGAGCACTAAATGAGCTCATCAAAATTACTAATCCAGACTCGCTTTTTTCATGGATTAATGATATCTTAACAATCCAAACCTCTATAAAGTAACTTTCGCTTGGTTTGTTTGTGCGAACACAAAACCTTTATATTGTTAACTTTCTATCAGTGTATATTAGCTTGAAATATAATTTAGTTCTGGCCCAAAAAAATTCGAAGTTTTAATTTGGATGAACGATGTCTAACATAAAATTATGTTTTTTTCGGGAATAAAAGAGTTTGGTCTGATTTCACCATGAAATCTATGAGATTAGCATTTCAATATTACGAGAATGAGAACGAAAATGGAATACACGTAAATGGAAGCGCCTTGATGTTATGTACATGTACATGTATATGCATCTAACCCTAAAACCATGCATTCTGAGAAAAAATCATTCATAATGATTGTTCAGTAAAAAGCTCGATTTGCATGTGAAACAATGTATGTACATGTTTATGTGGCCAGATCATAGTGGTGGCGACTGTTCATGTGCATGTACATGTATTATAGATCTATAGAGTTAGTTCTATGAGAATATGTTTGAATTTAGTTAAAATATTCAATTACTGTATATAATCTTACCGACTTTGATCTAAAAGTGTGGGAACTGGCAAGTCCATGTATAGACATTATTGCTGACGATCCTTAAAAAACTGATCCATTGTTCGAAATTACTAACGTTACATAGTTAATTACGTCATTTTAAAAAAGCGTCTTCGAGGAAGCTTCTATTTTGATTCTTCGATACATTCCATTTGTTTCCTGATATATCGGTATAAAGACATTCAATAAAAGCAAAATCTTTTTTTACGACTATGAAATTGTCAAATTTAAAAACTATATACGTTTTTTCTTTGATTTTTGTTGAATATGTAATCTTAACTTTAGTAACTTGAAAGATCTTTATATTTCGAATCTAGTAATTTGATTGTTAGGTCAGGTCTTTTCAGTTTTCTATTTAATAGGAAACAATAGGTTCGCAAGAAACAACACTAAAGTATATAAAAGGGGGATACTTTTCATTTTGAAATTTCAATAAAAATCAACAATTACACTTTAATTTTAATAATCTACGCAAAAAAAAATTTTATAATGATGTCAAAATTCCAAACCTTCGTTTTAGTTACTGCTGCCATATTCTTAGCTCTTTTATGGACTGCTTCAGCCCAAGTCCCATGTCACATACCTACTCCCGGAGGTCAAATTAACGTTTTTACACCAGGCGCAGGAACTTATTCTAAGACTTCATATCAAGCGGTTGACTGGAGTACTAACGGTTCAGTTCAACATGGTAAGTAATCTATCTATTTTGTTGATAATTTTTTATACACTCACTATTTTCTCTACCCATAGTCAAGGTCTGTATTGGCCAAAAAGGTACTAATGGTGGATGCGACAATCCTTGTTTTAAATTAATCGCTGATAACGTCGTAAGTACCTCGATATACTTTATATATATCGGTCTGCATGACACAATGACATTTTACAATTCATAATTTATGCTTGCTTTAAACTATAGCCATTCGGATATGGCACTTCTCCTACTTTCCAAACCGATTTCCCAGGATCTGATTTCTTCGCTTTTGTGCAAAGCGATGATAATCTAAATATTTGGGGTGCTGGGCCGCTGTTCAATGTTGCGGCGTCGTAAATTAGATTGATATTGATAAGTCATGTGTACATGTACTTATGTATCGTAGTTAAACTTACATTTGTATGATTTTATACATTTACTTGGTGTTGTTTCATATGCAACCGATTCAAAAAATTCTGTATAATGGTAAATAAATTTATTATTTCGTCTTACCTAATTACCGTTGAACCATAAATGCTAAAATGTTCTAATTAAATAAGGATTCAATTCAGGTGTGTTTGAAGATTTGCTTGTAAGCAATTAATTTAAATTGAACAAAAAAATGTCTGAAACGATTGATAATTCTACTCTAAGATTTGAATGGACAAAATTAATGAGCATTCATTCATCATTAACCAATATTCATTTATCTAATTAATATAACGTAAACATCGATATATTTAATGGATAAATGGTAGCATGTTAAAAGGTTCTAAAAACAATCATCTAAAATTTCCGAAAAAAAGATAAACCATCTTTCTGTTAAAATCTGGTGCAAAAAGCATATATAGCTTTAACAAAAAATAAGCTACCTCCTCTTTTTGACCTCTGAAAATCGTGTAAAAATAGTAGCTTATTTCGGATTTATGGTAGATTTTTTATGGAATTAATTGAAAAATATTAAAAATTCAGTTAAAGATTTGACAATTTACATGAATAACTACTGTTAATTGAATTATTCTATCTCCCCTTGCTGAGAAATATGCTATTCAATAAATAAGATATTTATTAGGATATTATTACAATAAATTCCTTAAAATAAGCTACAATTTTGCACAATTTTTGAGGGAATAGCTCACTTTCAGTATTAAATTTATTATATATACTTTTTTCACACGATTTTGACTGAAAATAAGGAGGTAGCTTATTTTCGGGAATTTACGTGTACAATATATGGTAATTCTTAAAAACATCTCTAAATATTTTTCTGTCATACTGCGAAATCAGTACATCTACTTATTTTAGGTTTTAGATGAATATTATCATATCTCCTTAACTTCTTTTCTATAGGGAGATACGTAAACTGCTGATTCATGTATCCGAGTATTTCCAATGTCCGTTTATATTACCCGGATACTCAAGTAAGTGGTGTACTCTTATGGATATATTGATTGTGTTCATAGAAAAAGAGGGTCATTAAATAGTACATGTACTACGTTCAGTACCCGAGTATAAATCAAAAATCAGACACAAAAATTAACACATGGTATATGTTCTCCGCCATTATAAACGGTTGAAAATCACAAATCAACCAATTAGCTAAAAAATATTATGCTTCATTTGTTCAGATACTGTAAGTTAAAGTTAATATTCTTTTGGTACTTCAAGCTCGTGTTTTCTGAGATGACTTTGAAGAGCTGCAACACCACCAATATTAGATTTATATAGCATTGTATTTCCATAACATAAAATGGCTTCATAAATACCATCAAACTGTTGAGCTATTTCCATTAATGAAGCTTCGTCTGGTTCAATATTTTCTTGATTTTCAAAATTAACAAACTCAAATCATCGCTCACTGCTGAAATCAATAAAAAAGCATTAAGTATTAATTAGGCCAGAACTTGGAACATTATTGATGATTGATAATTTAATAAGAAAAATACAGTACTAACGCTACTAAATCAGCTTGCATGTACAGTCGCCACAAAAAGTAACGCCCGATTTGCATATAGGTAAATATATACGTCGCGTTTTCCATTTTTTGTTATTGTTGACGCTAATTTTTTTATTATTTTCTTCTTTTACTTTTAAACATACACTGGATGAAATTTTTTTAGGTGTAAATATGATACCTGTCGTACCAGTAGGACATCTTCGACAAGGATAAAATTAGTGGTTTTTATGAAGTTATGAGTGCCAAGCAAGCTGCAAGAAAAATGTGACGGAACCCAGTAAGAGTATAATGATATATTGCCAAGTACAAAAGAAACAGGAAAAACAAAAATTTACCACTGTCTGAGAGACCATAAGCTCATAATGATCAAGAAAAAAATGCATATATACAAGAAACTAACCTGAGCCATTGGTAATAAAAAATCTGTGCAAAAACTTACCTGAAGATTCTCTAAGGTAATTTGATCCCTTTTCATACTATAATTTGTTTATTGCAGCTTGCTTGACGCTGATTTACTCTATTTGAATTTATTCATTTTTTTTTCCCTATGTAGATCAAGTTTTATTTTTTTTTGAACATCACGATGATAGTGTAATGGTATCTTGCCAAGTACAAAAGAGACAGGAAAAGCAAAAATTTATCATTGTCTGTGAGACCATAGGCTTTTAAAAATCAAGAAAAAAAAAGCACCTATACAAGAAGCAAAAAAAGACATCCTGAGCCATTTCACAACATTGATAATAAAAAAATTTGTGCAAAAGCTTATCTAAAGATTCTCTAAGGCAATTTGGTCCCTTTTTATAATATAATTTGTTCATGTTTTGAGCGAACATGATGTTTTAAAAAAATAAAACTTGATCCACCTTAGGGAAAGAAGCCATGAATAGAATCAAATAGAGAAATCAATGAATATTGTGTTCTCATGACCCAAACTTCATAGAAATGTCCCTAAGCCATCGGGGAACAATATTCTAAAGTGTATAAGCTTCCCAAGGATCGCGAAAAAGCTCAAGACTACTCTGAAGGAAATTCGATGTGTTGGCTTTTTAGGAGGTTGTAGGCTCAATGTCTTGAGAAATCAAAGTGATATTAGAGCGCTGATAATGTACTAGCTAGCGATAAAAAAATATTTTTATATTCATAGACAGAAATAAGATAAATCTAAAATTTATTTTTTAAAAAAATCGGACGTTACTTTTTGTGGCGACTGCACGTGTATCTAAATAAACTTCCTTTTGTAATAAAAGTTGTACATAGAATTAGAAGCTATGCATGTTATATAACGACAACGATTATCTCATTTACTTTTTATTATCATCTCAACTAATTCGCATCTTATAAAGTGTGAACTCAAAGATGGAATCAAATATTCGCGATTGTAGTAAATGTACTGATTTTTAAAAGAATTAGCACTGCGATTAGTGATTATTTCACATATTTATGATTTTATTAAATGTTACAAATATCAAAGTCGATTTAAGTATTGTGATAACCGTTTCAAATATCATAAACGAAGTTATAACTCTGAATTGTCTAGTGAAGAAAAAGATAACGACAATCTAATAAAAGAAGACAACAAATCATTCGTGTACTGAAATAGTATTGCTTTACTGATTTTATTATGGACTATATATATTGAAAAGAAATAGTTTACATTCTCTGAGCTTTCAGATAACTTTATTCCTATGATATCCATTACAATTGAAATAAAAAATACATTACTCTTATAATTACAAAGTATTTCTTATCGAATGATCCAGTAATATACATTTCTTTTAACACGATCGCTTCTTTCATATTGGTAATAGACAGGTACATTCAATAATTTCTCATCTAAACATATACTATATACATTGATTTTAAAAAGTAATGAAAACAAAATATTTATTGAAAATAAAGAGTAAATATTTTCTTCTAAGTGGATACTTTGAAAGATTTATTTATAAATTACTGTCAATTTTAGACTTCCTGGACCATTAGATAAAAAAATCTAATCAAGAAATTCAGAAGTACACTCTTTTGTATAAGTTCAGATGGAGTAAATTATTATTGAAAAATGTTGGAAACAATTAACTGCTAAGAAACTTAATATATGATAGTGACTATGAAAAGTGGAGTGGGGCAAGAATAACCTGCATTCAATAACATTTCGAATATAGATTCGTACTCATCCTATAAAAGATTTCTTTGGATATACCTGATTTTCCTGATTTTATTGAAAACATTCTGAAAAATTTACGATTATATTCCGAATGTTATTTATCAAACTTTTAAAATTTTTAATTTAATTTAAACATATACTGAATAAATTTGAAATAATTTGATCCAAAAACAATCCGATTTACCTTATTAACCTCGAGAAATTTTAATTCGAAAGCAATCGAATTTTTCTTACTATCTAATTTAACTAAATGTTATACAATTTTATCGAACAATTGTAATATGCTTATTTGTTGTTACTTTAAAAACAATCATATTGATAATGCTTGTTTCACCAAAGTTATAAAAGCATTATCCCTACGGGAAAATTGCATCCGGAATTTTACGCGACATGTATCAGCAATGTGTCATGAATTAGTTCCGTATACAAATGGGCGCGTATTCCGTACAAATGCTTACGGAATTATTATACGGAATTTAAAATTCCGTATGTTTTCCAGATTTGAATAATATATAAATTTCAGGAAAACACTGACACATATCATATATTCCGTGCACATGTCTTATATATTCCAGGCTCATTCCATATAAAGTTATTGATGCTACGTAAAATTCCGGATACAATTACGCACACAACCCTGAAAATAACAAACATATTTTATATGTATTGCGTATACAACTTTTATATATTACGTATAATTTCCAGATACAATTGTTTTCACATCTCTTATATATTCAATTATTTATACTACGTGATCTTTTAATTGTTATCTTCAAGTATCAAATGGTCTTCGTTGATTTGCAAAGATCCATTAAATTCACTATTCTTCAGTTGTTGGTGAAGGACAAGAATATTTTGAATAAAATCACATTAGGGTACGGATTGGGCCGGGCTTTATTTTAAAACTTGACCGGCCCATAAAGCCTGCCAATTTATGCGAAATTTAACCAATTTGATTGTCGCCATGTATTTATTTTGTATACGTTACGCTTTTGCATTTAATTAAAAATTTATTTTTTTATCATTATTGTTTTTTTATTGTTTTTATTTTATTTTTTATTAGTTATTATTATTTTTATTATTATTATTTGTTATTATTATTTTTTATTATTAGTTTATTTTATTTTATTATTGTTTTTTATTTTTTTATTATTATTATTTTTTTAATAAATCATTCTATTTTTTAAAATTGGCTATAGAAAGAAAAAGGCGTTAGTAAATGGGCTGAATAAGCTGATCTAATTAATGATTAATTTAATTGATTAGAATAAAATGTCCCATTACTTACATGACAATTAATATATAAATTATTTTTTCCTTAATATTCGAAGCAATAAGTCGCTGTTTATTAGTTCATTTGATTCTGGATACTTTACATGAAAAAAACTTTACATAAAAACCTGCATATGATGTACTATCCTTTAGTTTATCCAGCCTTGTTCCTTTGCACCTTTCACCCACATATTAATATTTCAACAGTTTCCAGAGTAAGTTTTGATCGATAGCCATTAATAATCCTTCTGCTTTACTAAATGTCTGAATAAATAATATATAAGTTAGATTGTATTGATAAGTTAATACTTAACTAGAACTTTACTTACCGCTTCAGTGGTTACTGAAGTTATTGGAACAGCAATAATATCTCTTGTCATTGATGGCACAGAAGGATACCTCAGAGTATTTTCTTTCTATCAAGTTAGAATATCAAATAGCTCTGGTTGAGAATGAGGGAGAAGCGGATCAACAAGATATTGTTCAAACTCATCCATTTCATTATTATATTAACTTGATTAGTCACAAGAAAACGATCAAAGTCTTGTATTAATTCATCATCCTGAGAAACAAAATCAGGAAAATCACAATAATTATTCAATGCAATTTATTTTTGCATATATGTTGATTTATAAATTATTGTAGCTCTATATAATAATAATAATGAAGTTTTATATTGAAATATTATATTCAAAATAACTTGCCTCGTTTTAATAGAAATTAACTTGTTCTCCACTTCACGTTATCGTTATTATAACCAATGATATTTTGTTCAACTTTGGGCTGAGTGCAAGCAATGAATGACATTAATAACCACAAGGGTCAGATGCTTTATAGTTCGCATTGTAACATTATACATGATTTTCGAAAAATCACTTATGATTTTAGTTATTTATATATAGGTAAAAACAATCTTTATCATTTATCTTGAGAAATTCATCGTAGCCATCTGCATTTGTTGTATATTGCAATACATAATGCATGTATTACTGATATAAATCTTAGATTAATCAGGTCTGAAATAAATGCATGTACGTGTCATGTAATGTGATATACTGTACATGTACATGTATTGGCATGAATTAGTGATATTTAGTTAACACTATATAAAAACAGCACATAAGTACTTACTAAATTGAGCTCAGAAAGATGGAATTGTAGTAAATTCATACATTGTCAAAAATGAAATTGCATATAAAAATATCCACGATTGTAATAAATTCTCTCGTTGAAAACCTAGTTCTCTCTAAATTATGTATCATTATTAAATTAAAAGTTAATGGGTTAATGAAAAATAAAGATACCTTAATTTTTTAACCGCGAACTAATAAAATTATAAACAGCCTAATAAAAGAATACATGGAAATTCACAACGTTTTTGAATGGTTTTCCTTTAAAAGTCTTATCGATGAAAATGATTCTCAAAGTAACAGTTCCTAGTTCGTTTGAAAGCTGAGTTTTTTCTTTATCAGAAAATATAACTCAACATTGCCAGCTTACAGATTTTGAACGTGGTGAAACAATTGGTCTGGGAAATTCGCCAGCCAATTAATAATCACGATTTTATTTTCCCTTGATATTTCTCGCAGTATGTGTCAGCGCATTGTCATATTGAAAGATTGCGTAACTTCCAGTTAATTCCCTAATTGCATTCATTCTGGAATGGAAGTAATTGAGTTTTTAAGCTATCGAGGTAGTTATTTTTTCGCCATTTTTTATATTCATCACAAAAATTAATGGTTCTTCCGCGAAATATCCACAAACCATTACAGATTTTCATCCATTTTTAAAGGAAGGCGCCAAACAATTAACGTTAAACTTTTCTCCAGGATGCCGCCAAACTCTTGGCTGCCGTGACTGCTTTTTAATTTCCACACTGGTTTCATCAGAGAAAATTATTTTCGACCAATCATTAGCTGATTTATTTTTATTTTCTTCATACCATTTAATATTAGCATATGTATGTATTTCCGAGATATAAGGTTTCTTTGCTGCGATATTCCGGAATTGTGCAATACATTTGTGACGGTTGATAATCTACAAGTGAAGCCTAAATTGTTGACTATTTTGTATGTCGTTTTTCGCTAGTTTCACTTATAAGTAAATTCTTTTGTGATTGTTTAAGGCTGGTGATCTCCCTGAACGTGGTAAGTTTTCAATTTCTGGTTCGTTTCTATCTGTTTAGAAAGTGGCGTACCGTTGTCCGAGTATTTTTGCGATTTGAGCGGCATTTGTGGGGTCCATGTACTCCAAAATCTTCCCCTTTTTCAATTTCGTTAAGCTGCGTATAGGTGGTCACCATTTTTTAACCTAACGAAATTATAGTGTTGACGAAGTGGCAAAAGATAAATAAAAGTGATGTTTATTATCAAAAAAGGGGATAAATGTATTTTTAAAAAATGGTTACACACGTAAATCGGGCGATACTTTCTGTGGGTACTGTACATGTATAGGAATTATTGCTGACAATCCTTAAAAAACTGGTCCATTGTTCGAAATTACTAACGTTACATAGTTAATTAAAAGAAGCGTCTTCGAGGAGGCTTCTATTTTGATTCTTCGATACATTTCATTTGTTTCCTGGATATATCATTCAATAAAAGCAAACTCTTTTGTGCGTACTATGAAATTGTCAAATTTAAAAACTACATTACGTATTTTTGATCACAAATTTGGTAACTTGAAAGATAATAGTTCGAATATAGTAGTTTCATTCTTATTTTAGTAATTTGATTGTTAGGTCAGGTCTTTTCATTTTTCGGTTTTAATAGGAAACAATAGGTTCGCAAGAAACAACACTAAAGTATAAAAGGGAATATTTTTTGTTTGAATTTCTAAGAAAAATCAACAATTACACTTTAATTTTTAATAATCTACGCGAAAGATATTATAATAATGTTAAAATTCCAAACCTTCGTTTTAGTTACTGCTGCCATGTTCTTAGTTCTTTTTTGGACTGCTTCAGCCCAAAAAGTCCCATGTTACGTATCTAATCCCGGAGGTAAAATTAACGTTTTTACACCAAGCGCAGGAACTTATTCTAAAACTTCACATCAAGTTGTTGCCTGGAGTACTAACGGTCCACTTAACAACAGTAAGTAATCTATCTATTTTTGTTTACAATTTTTTAAACCCTCATTATTTTCTCTACCCATAGGTCAAACTGTTAAGGTCTGTATTGGCAATAAAGGAGATTTTGGATGCGACGATCCTTGTTTTAAACTCATCGCCGAAAGCGTCGTAAGTATCTCGATATGCTTTATATATCAGTCTGCATGATACAATGACATTTCACAATTCATAATTTATGCTGCTTTAAACTATAGCCATTCAGATATGGCATTTCTCCTCCTTTCCCAGCCAATTTCGAAGGAAATGGGCTCTTCGGTTATTTCGGTTTTGTGCAAAGTAACGATGATCCAAAAATTTGGGGTGCTGGGCCGCTGTTCAAAGTTGCGGCGTCGTAAATTAAATTTTTATTTATAAGTCATGTATACATGTACTTATGTATTTATTTAATCACAGTTAAATTTATATTTGTATGATTTTATTCATGTACTTGGTGTTGTTAAATATGTAACCAATTCAAAATATTCTATATAATGATAAATAAATTATTATTTCGTCTTACCTAATTAACGCTGAACCATAAATGCTAAAATGTTCTAATTAAATTAATAAGGATTCAATTCAGGTGTGCTTGAATTTAACTGAGATGCAAGTAAGCAATTAATTGAAATTAAACAAAAAAATAATGTGTTGAAAATTATTTGAGCAATTGTCTGATTGATTAGATTGTCTGAGAAGATTAATAATTCTACTCTTGAGTTAATGAAGTAAATTCATTTGTCCAATTAAACAATTCAAATATAACGTAAACATCACTATAGATAATAGTTAAATATTTGATAACATGTTCAAAAGGTTCTAAAAAAGTCATCTTAAATTCCGAAAAAAAGATACCCCATTTTTCTTCTAAAATCTGGTGCAAAAAGCGTACAGTGTGGGACAAAAAAACCGTAATTCTTGATTTTCTCCATAAATATTTATTTAAATAATATAAAATTTTAAATATATATACTTGTGAGTATGATAAATAACTTTACTTGAACACTATAAGTTAAAATCAAATAATACTTACAGAAATAATAATAATAATAGTAATAAAGATAAAATAGAAAGAAGAAGGAATGTTGTGACTAAAATCACAAATATATAGTTATTATTCTTAAAAAAGAATACTTGTATTAATTTATTAGTTAATTTTTTTGAGATTATTATTTATTATAGAAGAGAGAATTATATTATCTTGTAAGATAAATAGAATTTTATTATTGCTTGAAGAAGAGAAAAGTGAAATATTTTCTAAAACTGTTATCTCTTGAATTATTAGAGAGAAATGCTTGTTATATAAAGTATTTGTAATAAAGATTATAAAAATACTAATAATTAAAGAAATCTATAAGAAATTCTAGTACTTGTAATATATACAGAATCAAGATATAGAAAATATTTTTTTATAATATAAATATTATTAATAATATATAATATATTTAGCTTAATATAATTTTTATAAAAAGATAATAATAATAAATAATAATTTAATAAAATATAGTTTATATTTGCTTTTAATTAAATGATAAATTAATTGTTCTTTTTCAGATTATTACATTGAAACTATATTTAATTTACTGATATTTATTGATTTTTTCTGATATTATAATTCAATCAAATCTTAAAATATTATTAATAAATTAAAAATTAACTGTATAATAATTTGTAAAAAAATTACAAATAATAATAATAATGATTAGTTTTTTGATTATAAATAATTAAATAATTATTCAAATATTATAAATATATTCTTTAATATTTAGAGAATAAATTTATATTAAAAATTTTTTTATAATTTTATATTTTATATTCAAAAATCAGCTATAAATCACTTGTAAAATAAATTAAAAAATTTATATATATTTTTCTATAATAAAAATCTTAATTATACAATCATAGAAAATAAAGCATTGAATTATTATAAAAACATAATAATAACTTTTTGTAATATAATTAAACAAATTTACTTAAATATTAATAACTTAGTAAAATATTTTATAAGTTTGTATTTTCTATCAAAAAATCAGCTTGCAAATTTAATTATAAAAATTTTTAAAAAATTAATTTTACAGAGATTTTTTATTTTATGATCTTAAGTAAATTTGTTCTCTAGATATTAAAGAATATATATAAATGCTTATATTATTTGAATAATTATTTAATTTATTATATTTATAAAACTAATTACCATTTATTTTGCATGTCACTGTATATTCAAAATTAGATGATTTGTTTGAAGATTCATTGATATTATTTGTTAAACATATAGTTATCTATAAGAAAAATGCATTATTGAATAATAAGATATTTAATAATCAAATTTTTTTAATCAAAGTCCTCTAAAAAGAGTAATTATTAAGTTTGATAGGAAAAAGATGATGCTCTATAATTTTTCAATTCCAGACATTCCGAATTGCTGGTTATAGTATCCTATTTCGCAAAAGCCATATTCTCAGCCATCAAATTTTATTCTTCACTTCCAAATAAAGTTCAATGCACAGTAACCAGTAACATTTCGTCAGAATTTTGATTACAATATTTAATGCAATACTTTAATTTAAAATTTTTATATTGCATATATATTTTGGAAACGTACTTCAACACTTATTTTCGATCAGGTTTAAAAAGGATCAAATCAATTAAATATTTCATTTATTTAATTTTTTGTGCTTCTTTAGTAATTATCACAAGTAAGGTAACTGTATTATATAGGCCCTTTTAATTAGAGAATTAACATAAGATAAATTAAATTATTTTAGAAGACATGATTTTCGAAAAGTTACTTATGATTTTAGTTATCTATATACAGGTAAGAATAATCGTTATCATTTATCTTGAGAAATTCATCGTTGCCATCTGTATTTGCTGTATACTGTAATACGTAATGCATGTATTACTGAATTTTGTGAGCGCAGATAATCAGATTATTTGTGAATTACATGCATATGTCCTTATAAAAATAAGGATACCTTAATTTTTCAATTTGACAAACCGCGAACTAACAAAATTATTGCTATAAACAGCCTAATAAAAGAATACATGGAAATTCACAACTTTTTTGAATGGTTCTCCTTTAAAAATCTTATCGATGAAAATGATTCTCAAAATAACGATTCCTTAAAAAATGGGAACATATAAAGGAAGTAAATTTAAATAATATAATGAACTCGAAGTTGTGTTATACAAAGCAAATAAAGTTTAAACCGAATCATTTATAAACATTTTTTAAATTTTCGAATATAGATCCGACTGCTCTAGAATGCAATATCAATTATTATGAAATAGCTGAAGACTCAGCTACAAATGAATATTCGAATGTACTATGGAAACTTCATTGTTCTGTTGTTAACTCGAATGTTTATTGTTTCTTTATCTTTCAGTTACAATATATCGCTTTGAATTTAATTTAGCTCGAATTTTTGATTGGCTCGAACAAATTCGTAGTTTAATTTGGATGAAAGAATGTCTCATAATTAAAATAAGTGAGTTTGATCTGATTCCATTATAATAATTAAATGATATAAGTTTTTCAATATTACAAGAGTGCGTACATGTACTATTATTTGTTGTACATGTACCTAAATTGGATGCGCCTTGATTATAGTGATACCATGCACGTTTATTTACATGTAACTTTAAAATCCTAAATGTTGCGTTCTTAATGCTTGCTCTGTAAAAGCATGTGTAACAATATAGCTAGACCAGCGACGATTATACATGTACATGTATTATCATAGATATAGAGTTCTATGAACATGTTTGTAAATGACATTTGAATTTAGTTAATTATAATATTAAATTACTAATATAATACTTACATACCGATATCTGATCTAAAAGTGTGGGAACTGACCAATACATGTATAGACATTATTGCTGAAGATCCTTAAAAAAATTGGTCCATTATTCGAAATTACTAACGCTACATAATTAATTACGTAATTTCAAAAGGAGGGTCTGTGAGAAAGCTTCTATTTTTCTTCAATACATTCCATCGGTTTCCTGATATGGCCTAAAAATCTTTGTTGTACGTCGTATTTGCGTACAAATTTTAAAGTGTATATTTTTGATGAATATGTAATCACAAATTTGGTAGTTTGAAAAAGCTTAATATTTCGAATATAGTAGTTTCAACAGCTTTAACATCGCTATTTTAGAAATTTGATTGTCAGGTCAGGTCTTTTCAGGTTTCGATTTTAATAGGAAATAATAGGCACGCAAGAAACAACGCTAAAGTATATAAGAGGAAGCTTTTCGTTTGAATTTACAATAAGTTATTACAAATCAATAATTACATTTTAATAATCTACGATAATAATGTCGAAATTCCAAGCCTTCGTTTTAATTACTGCTGCCTTTTTCTTAATTCTTTTTTGGACTGCTTCAGCCCAAGTCCCATGTCATTCATCTACTCCCGGAGGTCCAATTAACGTTTTTACACCGGGCGCAGGAACTTATTCTAATACTTCATATCAAGCTGTTAACTGGAGTACTAACGGTCCACTTCGAAGCGGTGAGTAATCTATCTATTTTTGTTGATAATTTTTTATATCTCATTATTTTCTCTACCCATAGATCAAAAGGTCGAGATTTGTATTACCAAAAAAAGAGATAGTCCATGCGACATTCTTTGTTACAGAGCCATTAGCTCATCAGTCGTAAGTATATCGATATGCTTTATATATCAGTCTGCATGATACAATGACATGTACAGTATACAATTCAAAATTTATGCTGCTTTAAAATATAGCCATTCGGATATGGCACTTCTCCTACTTTCGAAATGGATCTCGGACCAGGAGTGTTCTACAGCCTTGTGCAAAGTAAGGATGATCCAACAATTTGGGGTGCTGGGCCGCCGTTCAGTGTTACGTCGTAAATTAGATTGTTATTGATGAGTAATGTACATGTAACTTGCGTATTTATTGTAATCGTAGTTAAGTTAAATTTGCATTTGTATGAGTTTATACTGTTGGTGTTTCATGTGTAACCAATTCAAAAAATACAATATTTCGTTTCATTCATCTAATTACTAATTAGATATGCTAAAATGTTCTGTCAAATAAATCAAGTGTACTTGAGTATAATTAAGATGCTTGTAAGCAATAAATTGAAAAAATGATGAGTTGGAAATTTTTTGAGCAATTATCTGACACGAGGATTTAAATGAACAAAATTTATTTTTCATTGACTAATATTCATCAATTTTTAATGAGTTAAAGCAGTAATTTATTTGATTAAATTTCATTTTGTCTACCGTGAACATCAGATATTCAAAAGTTTCTAAAATAGTCATCTTAAATTTCTGAAAATAAGATACCCCATTTTTCAGTTAAAACCGGGTGCAAACAAGTATATATATATACACTTAATCCCAAAAAATAAGTATCTCCTCTCTTTGATCTCTAATAATCGTGCAAAAAATATTTTCGGTAGATTTTTTATGAAATATTTTTATGAAAACAGTTGAAAATATTAAAATTAATTAATTCATCTCTTCTTTAGAGATATATGCTATTAGTAAATTACATTTATTAAGATATGATTACTGTAAATTCTCTAAATGAGCTCTATATTTTTGCAGTATTTTTAGAAATCAAATAGAGAAGAGTAGCTTATTTTTAGGATTAAATTTATTAAGTTTTATATACTTTTTCATCTGATTTTGACTACAAAATAAGAAGATAGCTTATTTATGGAAATTTATATATATAAGCATAAATTATTTTCCATAATATGGAGAATAAGAGGCAAATTTCCAATTAGTTAGAAGTCCAAAGGATATAGCTCTTGTAATGTATTAAAGAAAATTAAATAATAGTTACAATATTATAAGATTTTTAAGTAATTATTTTATATGAAAAAATAATACAGATAAAATCAAGAATTTGACTAATTCAGAATAATTTTATCTGATATTCAAAGAAAAATTTACTTTAATTATTAATATACTTTATTATTTAAATAAATTATCATTTGTTTTTATTATATTGGAATTTTTTAAGAATTATATTAAAAAAAATATACATAGTGCTGTGACTGTCTTTGACACACTATTATTATAATCTCTCTTTGCCTCTTTAATTGCACAATCTCCTTGTAGATTGGCGCAGGAAACCTTTAAAACCTTAGTGATACACCATTTTGTGTAAATTATTCAGTATAGCTCTCGCTTCTTGTTGTATTTGGAATGCTTTAGCCAACTAACTTCTGAATTGTGCGTAACAATATTATTACGCGTTGTATAAAAAATCATCAATAAAAAGTTAAATCAATGAAGCGAATTATATGTTAAAAAGCAACAAATGAAATGAAGCAACAGTAATTACTATTTATTAATTTATTCCTTTATTTTGTTCATATATAAAAAGATATATACATTGTATTTGAATAAAATTGTATTTGTTCACCATTATGTGTTAAAATCAGTTAATTTTGATAAATATGCCCGTAAACACAAAGAAATTGAAACCACTTTTGGTTCGTTATAAAATCAGTTAACGTTAAAATCTAAATACACGTATGGAGTTTTTTTTGCAAGTCACTCTTCATTATCTTTGATTTCGTGTGGTATAGTAATATCGAAATCTGTTTTATCACCAAAGAAAATAATATATTGAATTAAAGAAATTGATGAAATAATATCAAATATGCAAATTTACCTTCATTTGGAACATACAGACTAACATATTTAGAACCTAAATGTTTGATATGTTTAAATTAATCTGAAATCACATTTTGATTGAATATAAAAAAATGCGCGTACCTGTATCAGTTTGGATTGATATTGATTTCGAAATAAACATTCGACTGGTGTAAATTGCATTTGAGTGGATTTGTTTTATTTTGTTTATATTTGCAGAAATTTTTTTTGGTAATTTCATCTGCTTATCAAGTTCATCTAATTTTTGCTTTTCTAGTTTAATACACTCTTTGATTTCTTCATCTGTTTTAGGATAATTTAAAGAACTGTAGCATTGGAAATGCAAAGTACTCAGCTTTATATCATAATCGTCTGGATCTTCGAAAGAGTAAGTAAAGTTATAAAGTTCCTCAGTAGTTGGTCTGTTTTCTGGAATAGGATCCCAACATATTTCAATAATAAATTTATACAATTCAGGAATATTATTTGGTATCGTAGGTCGTACTCCTTTATAGATGTCTAATACGAGAGGTATATCATGACTCCGTTCACCGAATGGTCGTTCACCTGTTATAACCTCATACATAACCATTCCCAAACTATAAATATCTGCAGCGTTAGTGTATGGTTTTCCAATTAGCACCTCTGGACTCATATAAGGAAGTACTCCATAAATTTCTTGGTTGGAGTTTTCTATATTTGTTGAAATGCTTAGTCCGAAATCAGCAATTTGAGGAGTTTTCGACGGCATTAATATGTTTCCAGGATGTAAGTCACGATGTACAAATTTTTCTCTGTGAATTTTTCTGAGACCATAGAGAATTTCATTTAAATATCTGACTTTTTGATTCCAAGTCAACTTTTCGCAGCTGGAATTAATATATTTACGGAGATCCCGATCTTTTGCATAAGTCATTACTAATGAGCATTCATTTGTAACTGGTTTTTTAGTTATTCCGTAATAATCTATATAACCACTATTATAGCATTTAAGAGCAATCTGAATCTATTTTAAAAAATTCGATTGTATTAGACAAAAGCAAATTTCACGTTAAAATGCTTTTTTTTACCTCTTTTAAAAACGCCTGAGTAATTGAATTGTGTAATGATTTCAACACAACTTCATGTGCCCCTTTTCGCTTAAATTTATTTTCTTTATGATCCCATTTACGATAGTCATCCAATGGTCCATCCAACCAGGTTGCTTTATAAATTGTCCCAAAACCTCCTTTTGCAAGATATTCAACGTTGCTGAAATTTTTAAAAGGAATCCATTCGAATAATTTATACTTATCTTTAATTATTTCATTGCATTCTTTTATTAGACTGTCGGTATCGTTATCTCCGCTAGACAATAAATCGATATAAAATCGTTTGTGATAGTTGAAACAATCACCGCAGTAAATACTTTCTCGACACTTAGTACATTTACGACAACAATGAGTACTTGAGAGCATAAATTTTTTATAAAATGAATTTCTATCAATATACAGGCGATATTTTGCGTAAGCCATTACTATCGAGTATTCATTTGTAAGGGAGTTTTTAGTTATTCCATAATATGCTATCAAGTCGTAATCGTAGGATTTAAGAGCAGTCTGAATCTATTTTTAAATAATTCGATGGCATTAGAAAGCAAAAAGCAACTTTCACTTTAGAAAAAGCTCATTTTTTACCTCTTTTATGAACTCTGAAGTAATTTGCTTTGAATTGTGCAATGATATCAACACAACTTCACATTCTCCACGTCGTGTAAATTTATTTTCTTCGTGATCCCATTTGGGAATTCATCATCATAATCCAATGGTCCATCCAACCAGGTTGCTTTATAACTTGACCCATTATCTTCTTTTGTAAGATATTTAACATTGGTAAATCTTTCGAAAGGAATCCATTCGAATATTTTTATTCTTTTTGTGCTGTTATTAATTTCGTTGTATTCTTTTATCAGTTTGTCGATGTCTTTATTTCCGCTAAACAATTCATCGTGATGAATTCGTTTGTGATATCTGAAACAGTCACCGCAGTACAAATATTTACTTTGACAACGAGTACATTTACTACAATCATGAGTATTGTGAACTAAGCACTCATCGCAATATCTATTCTTTTGGCATTCAGTACATTCATTACAATGATGAGTATTTGATTCCATTTTTTTAGTTCACTCTAAAATACGAATAAAAACGAGATACATGTACATTTTAATCACTGCATGCATTATGTACATGTACAATATGTTACACAATTGAGAGGATCTAACGCTAAATGAAAACTTTATTAAAATGCATTGAATAAAATAGAAACCACAGTTACTTTTGGTTCGTTGAAATTAGTTAGCTTTTATCCTCAGCATTATCATGTGGTCTGTTTTTATCACCAAAGGATAGGGCCGGGTCTGGAACATATTCGTATTCGATCCCATTATAAAAATTAAAATATAAAAATGCTCGTATTAGCATTTATATAACCAGAATTTGACTCGATCTGATTATAATTTAATTCGACAGACTCGAATTTTGCTAAAACTAATAGATATAAAAAATAAATAAAATTTACAGTTGCACCTCTCTATAAGAACACTCTATATCAGTGTTTTAAAACCCATTTCAATTTAGTGTTCTCATTGAGAACGTTAGATCTGCTGTTTTCGTAGTTAATCTTTCTGTCATATATATAATTTGAAGTATTTGTGCGTTCTCAATAGTGAACATATTTGTTTTTAATTGTTCTCACCGAAGAATTTGTGTTCTCATGAGAACGCTGAGAACACAGATTCCAATACTGCACTATATAAGAACAAATTACTTAACAATTTTTCAAAACAAACTCATTATAAAGCATATTAACATTTCCCCCTATATAAGAACATAATTATAAATTTTATAAGAGCCAAGTTTTTTTGCCTCCCGACCATGTTCTTATAGAGAGGTGTGACTGTACTAGATATTTATTTTATTTATCATGCATTGTAATCAATTGGATGATCCCAACTTTCCGAAACCCACTTCCCGAAAATCCAATATCCCGACATTTCAACATACAATCTAATTTCCCGAAATTTAACAAATTTAAGTCACCAATTATCCAAACGATCACCTGGGTCGAATAAAGATCACCCTGACTCGTCGAGTTCGATTAAATTATGATTCGTGTTATCAAATGATCTGACTCGATTTAAAACTCGGATTGAGTTAAACAATCCGGGTTGATTCGTGGACTAACCAAAAAAAAAT